ATATATGGAAAGCTATATATATATATATATATATAGTCTTATATAGTTATATATAGCACACTATATATACATATATGGGTCACTTTCAACTGCAGTTTTGTCGGCGCCCAGAGGCATCAGCGCCAGCCGGCCTCCCAACCTCCCGCGTGGAGACCAACCACGACCCCAACTAAGCTCCTTCGCCTCACGTGTGTGTTTGTGTCATTGGGACTTTACGACGCACTCAGCTGCTGAGGCTATATGGCATCGCCTGCCTCTCACCCTGGCAGGAAGGGCGGCCACTGCGGGGAACCGAACCCCGTACCTCTGGTTTCCCAGACGCGCAGTAGTTAACGCAGACGCGTTAACCACTACACTACCCCCCCCCCCCTCGGCCCCCGGGACAACTTTAATATCGGTGTTTACATGCAACGTACACCCGATAAAATATCCGTGTCTGCCGCTTTTATCCGCGGGCTGGGGCGACTCGTGACGGACACAACGGTGGTGCTGCACAAGACAGAAAATACATCCATTGGGATATCGAGGGGCCGACCGCAGCCGGCCGCAGTGCGCTCTTGCGTGAGATGGCCTGTGACCTCGGCATAGAGCACACGCCCAGCAATCCGCGGCGCAGGGGAGCAGCCACCCGTTTACAGGATAAATTTAACTGGCGCGTGGATAACACGCAGGTTGAGTGTCATATGGCACCGTTTATCATCCAGTCACCGGGTACTGCCGGAGAAAACTTGTTTTGCCCCCCCCCCCCCCCTCCCCGCATAACCAGAGGACCATTGTATGGATTTTCCAGGTGGCAAACGTATGTTGAAGAATCCGTGGCCTGCAGAAGTGCACTCCTCGTCAGTATCTTGCTCAGGACATGGTCGATACAGCGTGGCACGCGCAACTACTAAAACTGTCCCTCAGCTTCGGCAAACTTTCGATTCTCCATGTTCACTGAAATGCATTCAAGAGGACCATTCCCAGCCATGGAATTTCCGGCCAAATGGTCATCAAAGGGGCACCGACAAACTTCACCAAGGATCAAAGCGCCTAGAACAACGCGGCACCAACTGCTCCAGTAGGTCTCATTTCATGCAGCAAATCACTAAAAACAGCATGCATGTCTACGACCCGACGTCCTTGAAAGTTTTCCTCAATGCCGCAGATACCAGCCCAGCGTTTCATGGAAAACGGCATCTGGCGCACGGCGGCTGCATTCACAGTCCTACCATAGCCAAGTATCACGTCACTCTGGTAACACCGAAGACCATTTATGGCCATAAGACGTAAAATGCACCGATTCTCGCGTGAGTAATATGGTCATGCCACATCAGTCACACCCACCGTACCATGGAATACAGGCAGTCCAGCAAGCCCCCAGTCGTTGCCAAGTCTGGCCCAGATGTGTGTCTAGAGCTCAAAACGCTCCCAGCATCCCAGTACAATGGAGACACATGGGATCTTCACCTACCCATGGGATCCAGGCATATCTCTGCTTTCCAGAAATATCTTAATTTCCTCAGTATTCAACTAAACTACCAAAGTTTGTCTGGATGTGTGCAGATCCCTAAGGCAGTCCTGGATTTCACAGGATTCCATGCCAAGTCTGAGTCTTGAGATCATATCCTGAGATCATTTACAAAGGGGGGAGAGGGGGGGAACTCCCAGCATATGTTTGCATGCGGGTGGCCTGAGGAAAACAGCTGCTCGGACACTATCCTCAGAGATAATGCATGGTAAAAACCTTACCCCTGAAAATACTAGCTTAGACATACCAGCCATGATCTAAATCGTCTTTGATCTATAAATCGACATGGTCCACGGAAGAAAGGATTTAGCTCAAATCATGACTCTAGATGGGCTGTTGAAGGGAGTATCCCAGCTTCTTGTACTTTTTATTTCTTAGTACATTAGACGCGTGCGATTTGATCAGCAATACCCACTCTTTCATGCATTTAACTTCTTATTGCATCGGACGCGTGCGATTTGGTCAGCAATACCAGTTTTCCCAAATAATTCTGAACAACTCAGAATTTCAATTCCAAGTAGCCAACCCTGCCGGAGAAATTCTCACCTGACTCCCTCTCCACCACCATGAAAGTAATGCATCCCATTTGCCTTGTTTTTTCAACGTGAGAGTTCTGCAATGTTGTAACATGCCAATGTGTTTAATGTTTGTGAAATACATGCCACCAAGGCTTGAAACATTCCGTTTAGGCAAAGAGATATGCGAACATGAAGCTGTTATCTTGCAAATTCGACGATGCGTTTTATCACGGCTTTGATTTCTTTTCCTAGGGCATTTATCACAGAAGCTCTCTTCGAACACATTTTGGCTTTGGGAATGGGAGTATCACATGATCCATGTGGCAAATTGGTTCAAACTTGAACCAACTAACGGACAAACTTTTCAGCAACTTGTTCTTGCCCCCTAGGCCAATCACAAACATTCTTTTATTAGCACAAGCAGAGGCGCGCACGATCGTGATCGTTGTCATGACGATGGTAGTCGCCACTGCTGGGAACAAGTGTAGTGTCAGTTCAGTGCAACGTTAATACAGAACCTGACAGCGCAATTTGGACAAGAACATAATTCAAATCGATATCCTCTTTTGAGTGGTGAACTTAACACTTTACTTTTTACTCCAATACATCCCTGCTGACTTTATGTGAACACATACCTACCCAACTTGGAAACTTGATACATAGGTATAATCCTGGATCCTAAATGCTCACCTACCATGTGCTGGCATTATAACCTACCACAAGAGAAGGAGTGCACTGATATCAATCACTCTTGTTACAATATCAACATCAGTTCTTAGTGTTGTAAATTCACTGCCCTCAGTGGTGTGATAGCTGCCATGCTGGACTTGAATTCCAGAGATCCAGGTTTCACTCCTGGTGGATGGGCCTCAATTTTCTACTCCACTGGGAGAAAAATACCACCAAACCACAAGGCAGCCAGAATAATATGTCTGAATTAACAATCAACCTATTGCACATATGGGCAAAACCAGAGGCATGGGGTTTTATTTCCCACTGTGCCCACCCTTACACCCAGAGTGAGATGCAAGTGACTCTCATGGTCACAGCAGCTGAGTGCATCATAAAGCCCCAGTGATGACAAAGGCAGCTGTGGGATTAGGGCTCACCAAAGCAGAGGCAGGTGAAAAGCATTCTAGCATGCACAACAGGGGCCAGTTTCCTAATCAGTTGAAATGCTTTAGCCCCCAACTTTTTAAGAAAGTAGGCAAAATCCAGGGAGATTATCTTTGACTTTATAATTTTAACTCAATCTTAACCAGGCTGAATCATTTTGCTTTGATACAAATGCTGGAAAAACAGCTCCAAGCTACTACCTTGCAAAATATGCCACTTTACAAAAACTTCTATATAAGTCACCAACCAGAATACCCTTCATAATCAGAAACAGGCATTATATTATCTTACCTTCAAAAATAATGACAGTCTTATGATGTGAGGGTGCCCATGATGCAACCCTGACAAGGTTTCTAAGCTTTGTCATTTGGGTGCTGATCACTGATTGGTCAACAGAGCAGCCAAATATGACATACATGTAATTGAGATGGAACAGTGATCGCATTGGCATACCCACTCTTATTTGCAATTAAATGTTGCTTTTTGTCAGATTATATAGGGTTATTGATGATTGCAAGACACAATCATCATGGTTATCAATAACCTTGCTTGCAACAACACAACTCCTTGAAACACTGGCTCACATGTGACATCACACTGGCAATGTTGTAAGCAATTCAACAGATGTAACCTTAAATGGATAGTCACATAAAGCATAATGCACTCTCTTCCTTGAACTTAAGACAATCATGCTGATTGCAGCTTACTGTAGTTGGGTAGTTACAAGTCCAAACCTTGTTTTTGCACAACTATAATGCAATAATATGAATACAGTGCTCCTGATGGCTGTGTGAATAGGGACATCATGGGGACATTTCTTTCATTGCATGGACACTGAAAGACCATCTTACTACAAATTGGCCTCTTGGGTCACTATCCATACTGACCCAGCTTGAAAAACCATCAGACTGATAAGAACAATGTAAAATAGCTGAATAGTTTGGACAATTGGCCTTATTTCAGGTACCAGAATGACTTTCTGTTGACGCAAATTGCCATGCTAGACTAGGGATTCAGCTTAACTCCTGGGGGAAAGTAAAACACATCTGAGTAAGAAATGGAGCTAAGAATTCACAAAACCGTGGACGCAACCCAGCACAATTTTGGAATTACAATTCATCAGACATCTGTTATGCACGGAAATCCTTGCTGGTCATGGGACTGTACCATTAGTGCTTTATAGCGCTCATCACACCAAATACGTACCAATTATTTACTCACAGGCACGCTCCGGTTGACACGACCACCGCCCGCCAACACAATACCCACAAAATTTTCGCTTGAGCCCCGCGGTGTGATTGTAGTCGACAAACCACGGTCGAAAAACAACGCATAGGCCGACAACGATTTGGTAGCTTATCAAGAACAGCAAACAAGAAAGGTGAGGCCAAATCCAAAAATTGATTTATATTAAAGTACTTGATATTTGCCAGTCACGGCGCATTTCGTTCGTTTATGATGCGAGCATGTAAAAATGCTTCGGAGGCGAATCATTCGCCTCGGGAGTAGTTTTAGGGCCTTGGCTTTGGGCATTCGCACTGTGTAATAATCGAAACCCAAGTCCGCGTTGAAACTGCTTGTGGCCTCGGGGATAGGTGGTGGCTAGCATCTATTACCCTGGGTGGTTTACGCCAAGCGGTAGGTCGGCATGGCGTACACCCATTGTTGTGCGCCCATTAGTTGGGTTTTGAATGTTTCCGGGCGGCCATGTCCGCAACCTATCACCTTTTTTTTGTTTATCTCGTTTAACTCCTCCAGAATCCATTGTATGCTGTGGCCTGCGGCCATATACCTACACCCTCTGCTCACATTTGCACACCCACACCCATTTCCTGCCTTACAGAACGCATTTCAGGATGAGGTCAGGTTGTACTTTCTTACCTCATGTTACAAAAGAGCATTGTACATCAATCGTTGTTTTTAAGGCAGAACATATCATAATTAATCATAAAACAGGTCATCTATACTCTTACCTTGGAACCTAACTAATTACGATATCAAACATCCGACTGCCGCAAACACACAGCAGCCGCGACGCCGGCGCCATTACTGCGCGCGGTCACAGCGTTACCGCGCGCGGTCACAACATTATTGCGCCCAAGCTCCGACCAATTTTCAGTATCCCAGCCTTCCCCAGACTTGGAAAGAGGAATTAAAACCTTGAATCCCTGTCTCTCATATCTGGCAACCACTTGTCTTCACTTGCAAGTTGATCTTCTGCTACTTTCTTTATAAAAAAATAATGTAAACTTTTTGAATGGGTGGATTTCTGAGATCAGAGCTCACACCAAGCATTTCTTGCTATGTGAGCCCTGACCATTACCATCCAGTTGCAAAATGTTTGGTCAGTAACAGAATTTGGTGGTCAAGGTTTAATGTGCCAGAACACTGGTTGCGGTCTGTCCTGCCCTCTGGCATCCCCTAACCTCAAGTGAGGCCACTTGCCTGGCCACGGGTGGGTGGATCATAAGTCAGGCGCTCTTACCAACAACCACAGGGACAAACCTGCGCATCACTTGAATAAATCTTCCCTTTAGACTTGCATTGATTTTTATATCTGACCACGCAATGGCTGTCCCGATCCTGATAATGATGAGGGCGATGATCCCTTCATATCACTGTCTTGTAACGCTAGTAAGTGTTTAGTTCCACCATGATATTGCATGTTAGAGTATCGTGGTAAAAAAATCGCGACGTCCTTTTGGACGAGTATACCACATATGGCTTATGTCTCCATCCTCTTGTAATTTGAACATTCCTCCAAGAAAAAGTCCATCATTGTCGGCCTGCATGTACGCATCATCAGATCACCCAACCATCTTGTCCGTGCTGGCTCGGTCATGTCATGCGTTCGTTGCTCTTCGGCGGTGTTTACTGACCCTTTACATGAATTTATAAAGCACATGCAAATTGTTTGAGACTGTTTTTTGTGATTGGTTTTGAATTTTTGCGAGAACTGCACCGAGCCAGCTTGTGATCCATCAGCTGCACCAACTTCATTATTTTGGTTACTTGCAACACAGTTTACGAGACCAGGAAACAGCAAGCTTGCTTCTGTCAGCCCCCAGGAGAACTCACCAGGACAATAATTAAGCTGTCCTGCTTGTGAAAAGCAGTCCACTGAATTTCACAGCCAGCAAAACTGAACTGTATTATCTTGGTTGTTGTTAAAAATGCCCCATGATTGCAAGGGTGATTGCAACGGGTCTGAGTCCCATCTGTCCGAAAATAGCGTGTGCTTCAGGTGTGCGCGCGCTCTACACGCGCAAAATGAAACGTGTACACCCGCCGCGCTGACCCATGCTTAGAGGCTGCTCCGCGACATACCATTTTTCCTTGTTCGGTAAATTTTATGAATTGTTTGCATGCCAGAGAATTCACAACGTATTTATGTTGTAGGCACCATTCTGACCCTCCGCAGCAGCATGCAACATTTACCGACCCTGGCAAGCTTTGTAGCAAATAACTGAGGGGGATAGGGGCTCTGATTGCAATGTTCGAAAATGCACATGGCAGAAGGCAATCAATCAGAAACGTGTTCCATGCTCGTCATTGTTCATATGCACTATCTGGAAATGGGAGCGCCGGAAACCACTGCCCTCTGGTGACGCATCTCTGTACGCTAACTTCGGTCAGCAACCGTAAGACACGAATTCGCTTAACCAAATACAAGGGTACGGTCTTTGTTGAGGATGTATTAGTAATAGGGGCCATTGGGGCTGGCGTCATTAGGAGTGTAGTGTAGGATGCGGAGTGCGTGCACTTTGAAAAACCGAGTCGGAAGAGGCAAAGGAGCACCAGTGTTGCTAGCTTCAATTTAGTATGATGTTAATTTTTTTCTGTTTTTTAACACCTGTCAACCGGGTTTTCCTGCCATCGGCTGAAGATACTTATGCTGCCATCAAACGTGTAGACTGGCATGCTCATTTATAAAGAGCACAATGATCACTATATAGTAACACCACATCTACAAGGAATAAATGGTTAGCGAGCACTCACGACTTGGACGGTAGCGCTCGAGAAGTAACCCTGGAGCTTGTCCGAGCAATGCGAAATCAGCTCTATGAAGATTTGCATTTGGAATTAATTCCTTTAGGATACTGAATAGTTTTCTGCCGCATTCTGCCACTTAACAACACAATACACGACAAAACACACACGGTGGGCTTTTCATTCGTATCGGAATTTGGTTGGGAACGAGTTTGCGTAAAGTGAGAAGATGTATGAAATACCCGCTACAAGGTTGAAACTGTCCGCCGCTCGCACATATTGACACCAATACGGTCGACAGGCGTTGAGGGCATACAATAGCTCAGGCCCATGTTCGGCAGATTGCAGGGTTTGCCAGAATTAGTCCCGGTCACTAAGTTGCGTTTCTTTTCAATCAGGTCCTTCTGCTGCGCTGCAGCAGTGAGCCGCTCTATACCTCTACTTTCTCCGCTATGTTGGTCTATCGCCGCACGCTCAAAGCACTAAGAACCCCACCAGCAAGACGGCGCACAACTACATCGCATGCACGTGTCCACAGACCTGGCGAGGCAGGACGGAGCAAGGCCGTGTCACAGCGAAGCGAGGCCGAGTCACGGCGAGGCAAGACCGAAGCTGGGCGAAGCCGGTGCGGTGCCGGGCGAGGCGCCCGGTCGCGCGGGAGCGACGGGCCGGCGCCGAGCAACGGCGGTGAGCGTCGCTGGCCGCCGGACTATTTTTGTTTATTTTCTCTTGCGGGGCTCCGGTGGCAGCAGTGACCAGCGGCGTGCTGTGACGCCACGGTGCGCCGTCGGGCGGTGGGCCGCCAGTGCTGCCGGGCCCCGGTGGCAGCTGTGACCAGCGGTGTGCTGTGACGCCACGGTGCGCTGTCGGGTGGGGGCCGCTAGTGCTGCGGGGCTCCGGTGGCAGCAGCGACCAGCGGTGTGCTGTGACGCCACGACGCATCGGCGGTTGAAGGCCTCCAGTGCCGCGGGTGACTGGACGTGGCACGCTTCGCGTTGGTCGGGCTGCTGCGGGGCGTTCGCCGTGAGCCAGCCGTCGCCGGGGATGTGCAAGGTTCGGGGATCGGAAGTTTGGGGATCTGAAGTCGTGCCGCGCTTCGCGATGGGCTTGCTGCTGTAGCACGGCCGGCACGTTTTAATTCAGTTCCGCCGTTTCAGCACATGCAGTAAATAAGTGGCCTCAAACAGGGACCGCTTTGAGATGGGCTTACTACTGTAGCATGATCGATGCATTCACTTAGTTCCGTCCTTTCAGTACATGCAGTAAGCATAATGTTGTCGAGGTCGGTGTCATATTTGAGTAGATGTTTTCTGACCGGGTTTGGCCGGCAACGGAACAAGAATAGGCTTTTATTGGAACCTGCGAGCGCGATTTCGCGCAGCGAAGGCACTGCAATTATTTCAGCCTGTTATTCCTCGAAACATGCAAGATCGTTCTCCAAGACCTCCAGCAGGGGAACAACGGCCGGTCCTGCTCACAAAAATGTAATTCAAGGTTCGTTGAGTGGCGTGATTTCAGATGAGTGAAATGTGCTTGTACCAAATGGCAAGACCTTCCCAGAACTTCATGTCACAAATCTGTGTCATGATGCATAGGATGCACGTATTACGTCCTGTGGACCTATGACTTGTGGACAGTCACTTGCCAGTTTATGGATGCAGGGGCTGAAACCATGCGACTTTGGCGCCGATTTGAGGCTTTTGATCGGCTTTGAGGATTCGCGTGAATGTGTTGGCCTACTGATATTGATGACTCACAGATTTATGATTTAATTAATGGCTGTGAATCTGGACTGTCCTGCGTGCTTGTGTCCCCATGCCGTTCCCTTAATCACTGCTAACTTGTTCACGCATGTGCTGAGGATTTGCTAGTCATTAGCATGGCCTCCCTCATGATATTGTAAGCACCCATGATAAACACTCCAGCCGAGAAGCTGCATCCCCCAGCCGTGATCTAGCGGCGCTCCTGCAGCCGCGCTCGTCTGCTGGCGTTTTGAGGTTTCGTTGGCTGCCAACAGATGACAGCGCGGTCACGCTGTACCTGCACGGCTCTCACCTGGTGGTGCAGCACCCGCGCTGGCCGGCGGAGGACGTGCTGCTGCCGCTGGTTTGGCTGCGCGACCACTGCCGCTGTCCCAGCTGCTACAACACTACCACTCACCAGCGCCAGGTGAGTGGCAGACGTGGAAGGGACGACCGAGGCCGGCATTGGCCGGTGAACTAAGGGACTGGGACCCATACCGGCACTGGCCCGGGAGTGGGACCGGGCGGGCGCCCGGCAGGACTAAGGGACTGGGACCCAGACCGGCACTGGCCCAGGAGTGGGACCGGGCGGGCGTCCGGCAGGACTAAGGGACTGGGACCCAAAGCGACATTGGCCCAGGAGTGGGACCGGGCGAGCGTCCGGCAGGACTAAGGGACTGGGACCCAAAGCGACATTGGCCCAGGAGTGGGACCGGGCGGGCGTCCGGCAGGACTAAGGGACTGGGACCCAAAGCGACATTGGCCCAGGAGTGCGACCGGGCGGGCGTCTTGCAAGACTAAGGGACTGAGCCGGGCACCCGGCTCTAGCACTGACATTGGGACGGGGACTGTGACTGGAACTGCGGCCGTGGCTTATTCCGGGGAAAGGCCAGGGACCCGTTCGGTCGCTGGGAACGGGTCGGGGGCCGGGGTGGGCTGAAGTGATGCTATTGGCAGGTCTAGGGCAGTCCAGACTTCAATCCCGAGACTTGCTCCACACATCATCACGGACGAAATGCTCGGAGAACGAAATTGAGGATTGAGAATTAAGAACGGAATGGGCAAAATTGCCTGGACCCTAGACTTCTCTGCTACGGAACTTGGCGCGCAAAATTGGCCACATTACACAGTGGGCCTCAGATCGGCAAACTCGGCTATCACAATTCTTTGGCATTTACACTGAGGAGCCGAGCAAAATTCTCGTGAAGTGATATCACGAAAAGGGTGTAGTGAAACTTGTTTTCATTCACTGATGTTGTTAAGATGTAGGGGTTCTTACATTCGGCTCGGCGTTCTATATGTAACCAATCGCGATTAATTACAACATCTCATTTTTAGATGACCTCTACATGTTCAAATTTTCCACGATGAGTATCCTTCATGTGCGTATCCTTCACCTTTCCTCTTGTTACGCACTTCACCGTGACCCAGTGGCTTGCCGGAACTGCGCTGGACGCGGCGCCAGCCATCGCCCTGAATGCTCCATTCAGGAAACTGAAGCTGCGACGCAGGACAAGTGGCCCAGCCGGCCGCCCGTCCTCTCAGGGTTACTGTAGCCTTCTGGAAGGGCTCTTTAGGACTGGTACAGCCAAGCAAGTCGCATTTGATGCCCTTGCCTTTGACCAGCCACTTGAAACTGCGGCATATGCCCTTCGGGGAGGACGATGATCCCGTACGAGGAGTAGACCAGCCTTTCACTGTTCTGCAACTCCGTGAAGGATTACAGGACGTTGTCGTTGTTCGAGCTGAATCCCTCCACATTCTCGTGGGGTTGGTACCTATATGTGGACCTTGGTCGTTGGACCCGGAAAACCTCCAGCCTTCCTCCACCCGGATCCGCCTCTACATGGGCCCGGGAAGGCTCCTCCACCTTTCCCCCACTCTGGTCTGTGCACGCTCAAGAAGCCTTCTTGTTGATAAGCGGGCCGTAACAGGGATAACATTTGTGCGTTTTTAGAACTGAGTGTGCCAGATATCCGGGTAAGCGTACCCACGGCCTGCTCGATCCCAGAGGGCATTCTCAGTGTCTTAGACCGCTTTGTGCCATCACCAGTTTTGCGGACCTTGTCTGGTTTCACACTAGATTCCTCAAATAGTGTTTTTTAAGCATTCGTGTTTATATCAGACCTTTCACTAGAGCTGAAGCGTAGACACACATTCCATAGAAATTTCTTGTTTTACCACTTTGCCCTTTTAACAGGGTCGTCCTTTAAACTTCGATCAGGGTGAAATGTAAGGGTTATAAGAGGATGAGTGATGAAGGGACAAGGTCAAAGTGAACTATCCTTTTTTGAAAGCCTCGCTCCTTCCACAATAGCTGTAAACATGCTTTGTATTTTGCACACTTTCTGGTGAAATGCAGAGTTTACGTCTGCTTGGCAACGATCGAGACAGTTCAGAATATTTTTGTCACTGCCGATAAACCTTTTAGTTTACCGGCAGTGTTCGTTTTCGCTTATCAATTTTTCGTGATTTCGCTGTAATAAAACCTTCACTTCAAAATGCCGGCGGGCGATGCGTCCCGCTGGTAACTGCCGTTCTCAACAAATGCCAGTGCAAGTTGATTCATGCAGATGTTTTCGGCTGGAGTCTTTTTTGACGACGGTTACCAGTCAGGTGATAATTGGCTAACAGGCCATGTATGCCCCAATGTATGTCATTCCAAGCACGTGCTGCCGTGGGCAGATTCCTGGTAGCTGCCGCGTCGTTTTGAGGCGCGACCGGCGCCGAGACAGCGGCGAGCCGTCCGTCCCGCTCGGCATGTTCCTGTTTAGGCTCTGATAAACACCGTAATATACACACAAGGACAGACCCGAGCCGGATGCCCTCGGGACTGTGGGACAGACCGGCGCAGGCGGCAGTGGCGCTGCCCGGAACGGCCACTCGGGAGCTGCAGCGGGCCGTTTTGACATGGGCGCTCTGGGCCCGAGAGGGCCAGCCTGGCGCCGCTCGAGGGCCGGGCATCGTGGAGACGGGCCATCGCGCGAGCGAATGCTCGAGCAGTGGGAAGCAGTAACGATCGGGGACGGGTATCCAATGCGGCAGAATGGTGAGACACTGTTGGCCAGTTGTCAGTCAGCCAGATGTTGACACTGTCAGGCGTGGCAGACACAAGTTTTTTTCGTGTGACTCGGGCGCGCCTGTGCTCTGAGTCAAAAGCTGGCTTGGATCCCCCATGATACGGCGAGCTTAGACGTTGAACTTTACAACGAAGTGCACATGGCCCGCTATGAGCAAGAAAATATCAATGAAAGAGGTTTATCGTCATTGGAGCCATCCGCGAAATGCCATGACTTTCTCTCGTTCCTTTTGCACGACTTATGCACACAAATGCTCGCACCACGTTACCGCCACGCCTCGTCATCGTCCGTCAACTCGCACGTCCTTCATTCCAGACCGATGTACGTGACCTGGTGTTTGACGTGCACCCCAGTCAGTTCGCCGTCGACCAGAGCGGAACCTCCATCACCATCACCTGTGAGTCAAGCCAGACATTACATCCGCGGGACGCATCACCTCGCACAGGTTCACTGGAGCAGGCGGGACCTCGCGCTTCAGCCTCTCGCGTTTGATGTCTGTTGCTATAACGAAGGGCAGGGTACCTGTCGGTAGGCGTTCTCATAAACAGGTTTTAGCGTGGATGAGGTGAGAGTTGGGTGACTTGGAGTGTCTGGAGATTAGCGGGTTTACTGGCCGGTGCGATGTGGGGGCTGCGTGCGCCATCTAACGGCTGCCAGACGCACTGGACATTCCGGTCCCGCTCACACTGTGCCGCCACGTGGCAATAGTGGTTTGCTGGCGAGCCAGAGCGGGGTCGTTGCTCGCCGGGGAAGGGGTGGGGGTGGGTGGATGACAGCAGTACTTGATGCGGCAAGGCTGTCGGGACGGATAGTCTCTACTGCGGGTTTTCAGATAGGACTGAAATCCACAGACATCGGTGTGGTCGCTGCGCGCTCACCATGGAATACCGCCCACCATGTTATTGGTGGCCTGTGGGCTAATGCGAGATGTCAGCGACTGTAAACCTTTGACTCCGCTGTGGGGTCTGTGCGGTGAATTCTGTGTACCGTTGGGCGTCCGAGACGAACGCGAGGTCTGGTGTAGAGTGTTGCTGGTGGACTCTTGGTCTCCTGTTGCCTATGGTATTCGAGTGACGCAAGTGTATCGAATAGTAAATACCTGGCGATGTCAGACCCAGCTTGTCTGCGATGGCTGGTTAGGGACCCTACATGGCGCTTTCCGGTCCGGTCTGGTTTCATGTACTCTTATACAGAACAGAAAATGCATGCATCAAACCAGCGCCCTGAGTGATCGCACCCTGGTTCGGTCCCAAAGCTTGTAAGGTACAAACAAGCGCTAGAAGACGTCCTGGAAGCATTTCCCAATGCTGTGGCAACCGCAGGTCGGGCATGACCAGCCCACAAAGCGACAATCCCCATGTTTTGGCGCAGGACGGGTATTCTGACCTGCCGTTTATTTCTACCCTCCGGCGATGGCTATAAAAGTTTGAGAGGCCCGTAAAGCGGCACTTTGGCGCCGAACACTTCATAACGGCAGAGTTGACTGCTGGTCCCCGAGGCTTGGCCTCACAACGACCAGCGAAGAGGCCAGTGCCGCGTGTGTCTAGCGCCAGCTTCACTTTTATGCGCCCCGTCTCCCCTGCGCTGGGTGAAATGTGACGAAGTGAAGCGAAGACGTGTTGACGGCGCGAGGGAACAGGGCGACTGAATGAAGCATGGCCATGCGGATCTCAGTCGCGGCCTCGTAACCTGACCGACCTCGCGACTGCCACAGGGCACGACGGACATGAGTCGAAGTACAGTCTTCAGTGGCTCTGGGAAAACAGCTACATTAGTCAGAAGTACCGGCAGATGCAGCAGGACAGGGTCTGGAAGAGGTGAGGCGTCCCACCCACCTCACCTCCTTCCCCTCCCCGAATCCCCCTGCCTGGCTGTTACCAGCCAAAATGTCATCATTGCGCTTCCAATACTGAAGCATGTGCTCGCTTAAATCAGAAGAAAAGCTTCGCTGAAGCTGGGTGGTGGCAACCAATTTATCGTCTCTCTTTCCAGCCCAGCACATTGCAGTTTTGCCCTTGTAGCGCGTGAAGCGCCGCCGGTGCCTACATCGAAACAATAAGTTCAGGCGGGACTAGCCGTGAGTGAAAAATGGGACTAATTTTGACATGTTGGACGAGCCCTGACACACAGCCAGGCCCCCGGGACGCCGTTTGTTTCCGCCGCACCGCCGGACGTGCCGGGCTTGGGCCGGCTAATTGAACTGGTCCGAGTGTTACGTGACCCCAGATGAGCGGGCCCATTGCTCATCCGGAACGCCCGCTGCGGCCGCTCTGCCATGACGACGCCCGGCACGGCCAGATCTCAGAGGCGTGCAATGGATTGAAAACGCGCGGCGCTGGTATGACCGCTGGGAGGGCGTGACGCGCCGATGGTGTGACCGTTGGGAGGGCGTGACGCGCCGCTGGTGTGACCGCTGGGAGGGCGTGACGCGCCGCTGGTGTGACCGCTGGGAGGGCGTGACGCGCCGCTGGTGTGACTGCTGGGAGGGCGTGACGCGCCGCTGATGTGACCGCTGGGAGGGCGTGACGCGCCGCTGGTATGACCGCTGGGAGGGCGTGACGCGCCGCTGGTGTGACCGCTGGGAGGGCGTGACGCGCCGCTGGTATGACCGCTGGGAGGGCGTGACGCGCCGCTGGTATGACCGCTGGGAGGGCGTGACGCGCCGCTGGTATGACCGCTGGGAGGGCGTGACGCGCCTCTCGTGTGACAGTTGGGAGGGTGTGACGATCCGCTGGTGAGACGGGCTGGGAGGGTGTGACGCGCCGCTGATGTGACGCACTGGAATGGTGTGACGCGCCGCTTGTTTGGTGAGTCGCTGTTGTGACGGCTGGGAGGGTGTACCGCGCTGGGAAGGTGTGGCGGTCTGCTGTTGTGACGGCTGGGAGGGTGTACCGCGCTGGGAAGGTGTGGCGGTCTGCTGTTGTGACGGCTGGGAGGGTGTACCGCGCTGGGAAGGTGTGGCGGTCTGCTGTTGTGACGGCTGGAAGGGTGTACCGCGCTGGGAGGGTATGGCGCGCCGCTGGTGTGATGCGCTGAGGGTATGACGCGCTGGAAGGGCGTGACACGCCGATGGCGAGACGGGCTCGGGGGGGGGGGGGGGGCGCTCCGTTGGTGTGACGGGTTGGACGTTGTGACGAGCTGGGAGAGTGTAACGCGCCGCTGGCGTGGCGCGCTGGGAGGGTGTGACCCTTTGGCAGCGTGTGACGGCTGGGAGGGTGTGACGCACTGGAAGGGCGTGACGCGCTGCTGGTGTGACGCTCAGCTGGTGTAACGCGCTGCTGGTGTGACGCGCAGCTGGTGTAACGCGCTGCTGGTGTGACGCGCAGCTGGTGTAATGCGCCGTTGGTGTGACGGTTGGGAGGGTGTGGTGGTCCGCTGGTGTAATGCGCCGTTGGTGTGACGGCTGGGAGGGTGTGGCTGTCTGCTGCTGTGACGGCTGGGGGGGGGGGGGGGCGCCCCTGGGAGGGTATGGCGCGCCGCTGATGTGATGCACTGAGGGCATGACGCGCTGGAAGGGCGCGACGCGCGGATGGCGTGACGGGCTCGGGGGTGTGGCTCTCCGTTGGTGTGACGGGTTGGACATTGTGACGAGCTGGAAGAGTGTAACGCGCCGCTGGTGTGACGTGCCACTGACGTTACGGCTGGGAGGGTGTCACGTGCCGCTGGTGTGACACGCTGTGAAGGTTGCCCACCCTCTGTCACGTTGAGCGCCGCCGCGTCCGGAGCTGGTGGCGCTGACGGACAGCTGATGGCTGCCTGTCAGCGCCGGTGTGGCCCTGACTGGGGCTGTGCAGCCGGGCTGCTCGCCAGCGTGACGGAGCTGTACAGCAGGGCTGCTCGCCAGCGTGACGGAGCTGTACAGCAGGGCTGCTCGCCAGCGTGACGGAGCTGTACAGCAGGTCTGCTCGCCAGCGTGACGGAGCTGTGCAGCAGGGCTGCTCGCCAGCGTGACGGAGCTGTACAGCAGGGCTGCTCGCCAGCGTGACGGAGCTGCACAGCAGGGCTGCTCGCCAGCGTGACGGAGCTGTACAGCAGGGCTGCTCGCCAGCGTGACGGAGCTGTACAGCAGGGCTGCTCGCCAGCGTGACGGAGCTGTACAGCAGGGCTGCTCGCCAGCGTGACGGAGCTGCACAGCAGGGCTGCTCGCCAGCGTGACGGAGCTGTACAGCAGGGCTGCTCGCCAGCGTGACGGAGCTGTACAGCAGGGCTGCTCGCCAGCGTGACGGAGCTGTACAGCAGGTCTGCTCGCCAGCGTGACGGAGCTGTACAGCAGGGCTGCTCGCCAGCGTGACGGAGCTGTACAGCAGGGCTGCTCGCCAGCGTGACGGAGCTGCACAGCAGGGCTGCTCGCCAGCGTGACGGAGCTGTACAGCAGGGCTGCTCGCCAGCGTGACGGAGCTGTACAGCAGGGCTGCTCGCCAGCGTGACGGAGCTGTCACGGCGCCGCGGTCTGATCCCCCCCCCCCCCCTCCTCCCCCCGATCGGCAGGTGTCTGTGGGACGCGTGGACGGCGGCTCGTGAGGACCTGCCCACTGTCCACCACGACCAGTTCATGCAGGATGAGGCTGGTGTGCGCCAGATGCTGAAGGGCTTCCTCACGCACGGCGTGGTCACTGTCACTGGGGTGAGTGGTCACTGTTGCTGCGGTGAGTGGCCTCCGTCACTGGGGTGGATGGTCACCGTCACTGGGGTTGGTTGGTGGTGGTGGTCACTGTGACTGGGGTGGCGGTCGCTTTCATTGGGGTGAGTGTGCACCATCACGAGAGTAAGTGACCACCGTCACTGAACTGTGCGACTCTGTCTCTGTGGAAGGGGATTATTGTCAACAGGAGTGAGTGGTTGCCTTCACTCGGGTGGGTAACCAGCATCAGTGCGGTGGATGACTGTTTTGGGTGACTAACAGATTGTTCGTTCTCATTTGTCGTTAAAATATGACTGGCCAACCTTCCGACCGATATCCCGTCTTTTCCGGCAGATGTGCCATTTCTCGCGGTCTGGGCCATTAGGTTTATCCTTCATCATCATCCTAAGATGAATCTCAACTTGGGAATCGGCCGGACACCTATTTAAATTGTTTTTCCATCCCTAGAGTCGCCAATATTCCTACCTCCATGGTGGAAATTCATGGGCCAACATATGTTTCGTGTGAACAGACAACTTCTACAACTCCTAAAACTCCTTACACTTTCAAATACTTTTAAAGCTCGGAGTACAAACTCGTAAAATATGCGCGGCCCGAGGTCCCGGTGATGAAGTATCGCTTATGCATGGTATCGGCCAGAAAGCAAACATGAGAGACCGAAGACAACTGACGTGTTATGTGGTGCATTTGACAGCCCACTGCCCCGCGCATTAGCCCAATGCCTCTGACACGTGGTTGCATGAGGGCGCGGAACCTTTGGTGGGTGACAACCGTGTCATGTCGCGGTGCATGCATGCGTATAACCATGACGAATAGGCTCCAGACGTGCTAAGTACAGCGATTTGTCAGGCTGCGTCAACTCAGCACGCATATATTCATGAGGGAAGTTGGGTGAATTATACCGACTTCCGCGAACTCAAGTGCGACGTAGAGGCGACTTTCTGTGGACCGTCATGCATACGCGAGTTTCGCTGATCTCGTTACACCGGTTTCATGTGTCATATCTCAGTAAGACACACCATATTAACATATGGTGCAAGGACGCAGCGGGTGTGGTGTGATGAAACACGGACGAGCTCCGTACCCGGACCCGGGCGCGTGAGTCCCCGGAGGACCAGTGGGAGGGGATCGACCTGTCTCGTGTCGCCGTTTCTCAGAAAAGCGACAACGGCGGGCGGCCCCGTGGCCGGCGGTGCCGCACGGTACACGTAACGCAGCCGTCGCTCGCCCGGCTGGTGTGCTCTGGAAACGAGGATGTATCCGCTAATAGGGTCCCCATTGCGTGAAACCCGCACAGGCTTTGGGCGTTTTAGTGGAAAAATTGCCTTTGGTGCGGCCATGGTGCCCGCTGTACGTGCTAAGGTGCCGGAGCTCTGAGGCTCATCAAAGTTGTGGCGGTGTTTTAGTGTGGCCGGTCCGTTCGTCCGCTATAGCTCCACAGCCTCGCGATGGGTCTTTGTTTAAAGTTGCGCGAAGTTTGGCGGAATGCTGTGGGATGTTTCCAGTGCCTCCGGCCTCCAGGTCTTTTCATTTTCAAATGAATAACCAGATAGGCATCCGGGGAATAATGCATACGTTTTCTCACCAGGCTTCTTGATCAATCACTCGCCAAAACTGCTTGGGAGCGATATAAGGCCGCCAAAGTGGACTTAAGTAATAAGAATTTGGTCCGCTTTACTAACATTATAGTGGACCAAACTAAGTTTATTGCGTCGTAGCAAAGCTATATATTAAAGGAGTAACGCAGCGTATCGAGGGGATAACACTGTCAGTAATTCAACCTTTCAGCTGGACAAAGAAGTGCTAATGTCGCCCGGCCTCGGGATGCTTGTTGTGAGCTTAGGAAAACATCAGATTGTCTATTTTCCTTCATCTGCAGCGTAGCCCGCGGTTCGATGGCTCCCAACTTTGAGCCGGGGGAATGGGATAGTATTGGCGCTGGCGTGTTGTTGACTGGCTGCCGGTCCGAACACCACCCTGACGGCCTCCGGGTGAGCCGCGCTTATTGCTGTGTGAATTGAGCGCAGCCGGCAGGAGTCGGCCGTCGAGCGGGCTGTCCAACGTCACGCCCCGATGTGTCGAGGTCTGCGAAGGACGTGGTTTGGCCGGGTGGAGCGATACCGGCCTGCGTGAGGCTAGACTGGAGACGAATGGCGCATTACGGAAAGAACAAGGGCAAAGAAAACCACTTTCAGACGCGCGATAACTAGGTATAGTTGCCTTTTTGTATGGTATTTCAAGTCGTATACATGTAGCTTTAAATACAACCCCTCGAAGAGTGGACTTTCTATTTAAGCGGACCAGCTGACACACAGTTGCCCGCCGCGCCGCCAGGTGTCGGCGTCGCTGGAGGCCACCCGCCGGGTGATCGAGCGCGTGGGCGCGGTGCAGAACACGATCTTCGGCGACGTGTGGGCAGTTCAGCGCCGACGGCGCCCACGCCGACACGGCCTACACGCAGCAGGCGCTGAGCGTGCACACGGACGGGCACCTACTACACCGAGCCGGCCGGGTACGTCCCGCGCGGCCGTCCCGCGGGTGGCATGATGAGCTGTCCGGAGGTGGCACGATATCCGTCCGAGGGGCAGCACAATATCCGTCCGTGGGTGGGCATGATGAGCTGACCGGGGGCGGCATGATATCAGTCCGGGGGTGGTATGATATCCGTCCGGGGGGTGGCATGATGAACTGAACGGGGTGGCCATGAGGAGCTGTCCGGGGTATGCGTTATATCCGTCCGGGGGTGGCTGCATGATATCCGTAAGGGGGTGGCATGATATCCGTCCGGGGGTGGCATGATGAGCTGTCCCGGGGCTGGCGTTCTATCCGTCCGGGGGTGGCATGATATCCGTCCGGGGGGTGCATGATATCCGTCCGGGGGTGGCTGATCAGCTGTCCGGGGGTGGCATGATATCCGTCCGGGGTGGCATGATATCCGTCCGGAGGTGGCCTGATATCCGTCCGGGGGTGTGGCGTATGATATCCGTCCGGGGGTGCGCATTGATAAGCTGTCCGGGGGTGCTACCTGATATCCGTCCGGGGGTGGCATTGAATATCCGTCCGGGATTGGGCATTTACGCGATATCCGTCCGGGGGTGGCACTTGATATCCGTCCGGGGGTGGGCAATGATGAGCTGTCCGGGGATGGCGTTATTATCCGTCCGGGGTGGTGGCGTCGTGCTATCCGTCCGGGGTGTGCATGATATCCGACGGTGAGTGGATGGCATTGCTATCCGTCCGGGATGGCATGATACCGTCCGGGGTGCATGATATCCGTCCCGGGGATGGGCATAATATCGCCAAGGGTGTGCACGATATCCGTCCGGGGCGTCGGCTATGATATCCGTTCCGGGGGTGGCATGATATCCGTCCGCGGGTGGCATCATGAACTGTCCGGGAGACGGATGCCGTCCTGAGTAATTTGTCTCACCACTTCTCGCCTGAGCTCGGTTTACGTGGCGCCGGAGCGCCATGGCGTGTCACGTGACGTCGTGACGCGCCCAGCCAGGGTTCCTTTGGCACCTGGACAAGTCCTGCGACACGCCCAGCTTCCCGAGCATATCTTGTGCCATTCTGAGTCGTCACGGCCTGTCTTTCGTGACCCTAAGTCGTCTGAGTTTGTCTGTTGTCGTGCCGAGGCGGTTGAGTGCGGCACATGACATCCTAATGGGCCCATGCCGAGCCTGGTGAGCGCCTGGGTATGCCGTGCCTAGCTGAGCCGGTACGTGGCGCTGAATGAGCGAAACGTCCAGCCTGTCCGGCCCGCTTTTCTGACACGTTTTACTTATTCACCGCCTCGTCCTGGATCCTCGCACTGCCCCGTTACATCGGGACATGCGGCGGGCGAGCCGCGGGCTGCCGTTACAGTCGCTCTAGTGCGGGAGCCCCGCAAGACGACCCGCGTGAGCCACAGGGGCGGGGTTCTGTGCGGGGTGAGGCGTGTTGGAGAGGGCCTCTCGGAATGGTCGCAGTCTTGCCCCACTGCTCACCAGTCTCTTTAAACCCGCAGCCGTGAAGAGGTCATTACTGTACTCTGCAATGAAAGTTGGCTCTACTGCGAACCGAACCCCGGCTTGCCTGCCTCGCGAAGTTGTCCAGCTCGTATGCTGGCGCCCACTAACGAAAACAGAAAATGTGCTAATGTGTGTCGGTCACGTATGAGATCAGGGTGCCCCGCACGTTTGTGTTCCCCTTCAGTGGTTTCGACCAGCGGTTTTGTTCACCCATCGGTGATAACTATATTCGTCACCTCGGCGAAGCAATGCCATGCTGATGCGACACCGAACCTCGGGCTCGCTGGAGCCCAGCCTACGTTCAGGAACTGTGGGCGGCGACTGGCCACAATGGGCTCTAGGCGGTGACAAACTTTGTAAATTTGTTGTTCATGGCATGCAATATATATGCCTTAATGTCGGCCAATCCCACGATATTACGCCCAGCACCCATAACCGCGAAGTGTTGTCTAATTTGAATATAAGCCGCAGGAGGCCGCGTTAGAGCTTATGCTGTTCATAGTGTCATTAACAATGACAAATCATTCCCTAACTCGCCCGGTGAGCGGGGTCACCGCTGTCTGCCCATTATATATATATATATATATATATATATATATATATATATATATATATATATATATATGATCCGAAGTCAATACAGACCGCGAGGGCGTGGCATTAAACAAGCATGCTCGTGCGTTAGAATGACTTGAAGGCACCCACAGGTATGCTCGTGCAGTATAGCGACATGAAAGGAAGCGTTTTAACATATAAGTTTTGAGCTCCGGTCACAAAAGCTGACTTTCAGTGTACCAGGAAATACTGTAAAAACGACGTTACCGAGGAAACATTGTCCATATTGTTAGGCCTCGAAACTTTAAGCGTTGGTCATAATCGTGAGTGATCTTCACCACAGCTTGAAGCTTCGAGTTTTGACAACATAACTGATGCTTGCTTCGTAACATCGTTTAATCGACATCGGCTGGTGTGTTGAAGGTCCATTGGTAGCATAGGAACGCGAAACTCATAGTGCTGAAAGACCAGGAACTCTAGATCTTTCGTGGTTATATCAGGCTTCCAAAATTCCTTGTAACTGGCGTGCGAAGACAACCATTACGTGGCACATCGAGTGGCTACTACAAACAAAGTATGGAGGCTAAGTCGGGTCACGTGTCGTTTCTGGTTTAAGCAGCGCAGGCATGTTAGTGAACTCCGCCGGCAAGGTGTTACATTGCATGGGTGCATGGTAAACGGATGAATTGCTACCAGTCATACGACAACGGATGCATGGTAAGTGAACCAATGGTGCAGAGATTCCACCGTTTTTATCTCCGCTCCGCTATTCTAAACTCCACTCCACGCTCTGATCGGTCCCTTTTTCTCCATTCGCTTCAAAACTGGCTGCAAGTATTCCGTCTGACCGCACACCATGCCTGCGCAGAGTGCAGGTGTTCCACTGCCTGCACCACGACGGCACCGGTGGCGAGACGACGCTGGTGGACGGCTTCGCCGGCCTGCAGCGGCTGCACGCCGCCGACCCGGCCGCCTATCAGCTGCTCTCGACCGAGCCGTGCGCCGGCGAGTACCGCGACCCGGGCCGCCGCGTCCACCTGGCCAGCGGGCGCGCCGTCATCGCGCACCGCGCCGGCGGCCAGCCGCGGCCCGAGCTGGCTCGCCGCCTCCGCTTCAACCCGTACGACCGGGCGCCGGCGCGCCACCTGTCGCCGGCGCGGCTCGAGCCCTTCTACCGGGCGTACCAGCGGCTGGCCGAGACGCTGCTCAGCCCGCGCCTGGAACGCCGGCTCCGCCTGACGCCCGGCACCGTGCTCTTCATCGACAACTGGCGCGTGCTGCACGGCCGGGCCGCCTTCACCGGGCGGCGCGTCATGTGCGGCGGCTACGTGGCGCGCAGTGACATCATGAGCCGGGCCCGCGCCGCCGGCCTGCTGCTGTAGGAGCCGGTGACGTCATCGGTCGGTGTCGCAACGTGGTCCAGGAACGTCATGAACTGCGCCGCGTCATTGGCAGGCTGCGCGGTGACGTCAGGAGCCGTAGCGTCGTGACGTGCAGCGTCATGGGACGTCATAGAGGCGCCGACGCTGCTGACAGCTGCTGTAGGGGCTCAGTGACGTCATACAGCACGGTGTCGCGATCCGTTTGAGTGACGTCAGAGTCGCACAGAGGTTTAACACGAGTGTGTGCCGTGGCAAGCCATCACCCACCGACCAATGCTGACTGACTTTGGGATCATTCAGGTATTCGTGGGGGTTCCCATGTCGCGTTTAATACTCACATTCTGGGATAATTTGGCTGCTACAGGGATGTTACGGCTCATATCTTGAAAGCACTGCACTTTAAATCCAGCGCTGCCTGACTTAGTCACTGGTACAAGTTAAGATGTTGTGGCTTATCCAATACTGAATGCCTTTAGATTTAAACTTGTTATGGTGCTTAACTAGAGTGGCATTCGACACTGTTTACAGTTTGATACAAACAGAAGGCCTTATGGCAGTCAATGGCACTTGTGTGTCTCCGCCAGACTCCTGCCCGCTTACATTGCCACCCTTGACGCTCCAGGGCTGCTTGCCGTACTCCCACTCCGTTTGATCCTGTGTGAACTCTCAAAGCCAGGGGTTTACGTCACAACACAATACACACGAAGTCATGCATCAAGGTTTCGAAACCTTGATGGTATTTGGCGATAATGAGAAAGCAGTAACATTTGGGTTGAAGTCAACATTTAGGTTTCGGTGATATTCCACGAGGCGATTTTTACACATGGGCTCACTCCGACTTTTTCCTCCGAACATGTCATGCACCGCAACTAGACTTTGTTTGAAAGATCCTGAAGTAAGTGGAAAAAAGGAGGACACTTTCTCTGCGCATACGCAACACCGTATTTTCTCTGCTAATGATATGTACATGCGCATACAATTCGAACGTGAACGTGAAATGAAATCGATTGTGATGACGCGTGTAAATTTGATTGATAAGTATTCTTTTACCTTTTTGATTTGATTGTGATGACGCGTGTAAATTTGATTGATAAGCATTCTTTTACCTTTTTGACATGGCCGTATTCACGCTAATACGATTTTGCTCGTGTCTAGCACCCCGTCTTATTATTTACCTGTCCCACCGTTACTTCGTGTACTTAATTTGAGTCAGGACCAGCCATAGTCAGGGGCCTTGCGCTCGGTGCGGAAGGCCCAGTTACGAGGTGAATAAAGAAATAAATGAAACCTGAGTTTGACTCGATATCATGTAAGTGACTAAATGAGACCTGAATGAGCCTGACTGTGCGCTGGGCGACCTACAACAGCTCAGCTGGATGAGTGCCGTAATATTTTAGCATTACGTTGCAGACCTTTCTTTGTGGCAGCGACATCAGTTGATTTTTGCACATCATGACAGCACGCACCACTGCGAAAGCTCGTGTATCTGACGTCGAATGTCAACTGCCAAACGGAGCACTTCTGCGGACTACGTGTGCGTAGACAATATATATATGTATATATATATATATATATATATATATATATATATATATATATAAGAAAACCGACGAAAGAGATAACGACGGTGTCCCTCACTGTACGGATTGCTGCCTGAAGCCTTGCCTGAGATGCCCTTGAAGCTCAAGCCACCGTTCTTTCATGTGGAGTGCAACAGGCAAGGCATCGCTGGTTCCAATGCTTCTGTGAAAGGCCTTCATGATTGGTTAACCCGAGGTATTACCGTGTTAACACGGTCAACGCGTCGTTTTACACGCGCATGTATTACACAAGATGATACAATCGTCACAGCCGTGGTCAGACGCGAGCGTGCGATTGGCAAGTTCTTAAAAACACGTAGCCACACACGATTCATTGCTTCTCAATGAGCAACTGGCTACGCTTCGATGAGTTGTGGACCAATGCTGAAACAATGACCTGCAGAAGCGTGAACACACTCACGCAGTGCGACAATCGTTACCGCTTCGTATTGTTTTGTCCAGCGGGCAAATCACCCCGGTATGAGTTATGACGCCGTTCAGGAATAAACTGTCCTGATTCCAGTCATAAATCTTTAGTTGGAGCAAACGTCTAGCCATTTCTAAAGTCGTAGTTTTCCAGATTGGCTGCGGTGCGGCTGACGGCCGTGGCTCTCCGTCGATCCCAAGCATCGCATGACCCCTTCGACCCCTCTTTCATTCTGCCGCGCGCGATCTGTACACGGAGGGCGTCAGTCCGCTCGAGCCGCGCCTGTCGGCAGAGCAGCTGCCATCGGCCGCGAGACGTGGACGGGTAAAATCGCCGGTGATGTACAAGCACCTGCCCGCGGCTCTCCTCCCCTGTCTCTCTCACACACGACCAGCAAAGGTCTGGGCGGCCGCCGAACAGTGGGCCAGCTGCAGCTGAGGGGCGACTGCGGCAGCTGGGCAGCTGTGGACGGTGGCGGGCGAAGCGTTGGTCACTGTCATCGAGGCCGTCCCGGGGCTCCGGCCCGCGCTTCGGTGCGGGTCCGACCGGCGCCCATCGTCACGCCCCGCAGCACTGGTGGCGGCGGCGGCGGCGGCGGCGGCGGCGGCGACGGCGACGGTGACTCCTCCGCCAGCGGTCGGCCCGGACCCACTGGACTCACGGCCGGCGAGGCGTCCCGGCCGGCGGCGGACCGCGAGCCCCCCGACAGTCGCCGCGCCGCCGCCTCCTGGCTCCGCCGCTGCCATACGATAGCGGCGAAGATGCACAGGTTGAGCACGAGCAGCGAGCCGCCGACGGCGACCGTGAGCGCGAGCGCGGCGGCGTGCGCGGCCGGCCGCCGGTCCATGTCGCGCGACATTGTCTGCAGACTGCGTGTGGTGACGGGCGCCGCCGTGCTGGCCGGCGCCGGCGCCGGCGCGGCGCTGGTCGGCGCCGGTGGCGCCGGACGCGTCGGGGGCGGGCCAGAGCAGGCAGGCCGCACAAGTCCGCTGAAGAGCGGCTCCGACGCCGTCTCGACGGCCTGTTCGAACGCCAGTGGCGCGCGTCCCGACCGCTGGCGCGCGCTCTGCAGCTGCGGCACCAGGCGCGCCCAGAAGGCTACCTCGCGCGCGCGGTACCGGCTGCGCACGCGCAGCTTCGAGCCTGCGGAGCGAGGGCGATGTTAGCGTCAGATCGATCATCCTGACAGCGGTCCAAACATAAGTTGATCGGTGCAAATTCCTTGCGCGTCCAAGCACAAGCCCTGAGGCGCCGCCCAACATTTCAACACTTGCTCCATTACGACGCTGGCCTTCTGTCTGACGTCTCGCCGTGTCGTGCATGCTCGGCGTCCCAGTCTGATGCAGCTGCGCGAGTCCCACCCCGCCGTGTCCTGCTGCATGTACAGCACCTTGTTTCGCCGCGCGCAGCAGAGGCGGGCGTTCCCCGCCCCGGGCCGTTATCGCCAGCCCGCAGCCGGTGCCATGCCCCGTCACACGCGGTAAGATTAGCGCGGATTCTCAGCAGCGTCGACGCCGACCGACGCCGCGCTGCATACTGATGAGTTGCGGCTCGCGCCAAACCAGACAGCTGCAGAGTCGCAGCAGCCCCCTCCTCCTCCCCTCCCCGCACTCATGGACGCCCCGGCGCGACGATCGCCAGCCCATCGTCGGCGGGACGCTGATGCGGTCCGCTCGTCGCGCTCCATCAGGCCGACGTTTTCCCGTCCTCATGCAGTGACCGCAGTGGCGCAGCCCAAGGCGCCCTGGGGTCATGCCGCCTCCCCTGGCACTAGAGGTGCGAAGATCCCGAGAGACCCTCGGTGCTTTTTGGCAGTTCTAGACCCCCGTAGGTAAACAGGATATCGAAAAGGCCCCGCATTACATATATATATATATATATATGTATATATATATATATATATATATATATATATATATATATATATATATGCGTATGTGTGTGTGTTTGCACGCGCGCGCTGTGTGTGCGGGTGTGGGTGTGGGTGTGTCCATCACACATCGTTAATGTCAACCTCTTTAGGCATCGGATCGTACTCTTCCATACCAGAAGACATTAAATAATATACATGCAAAAAAGTAGTTGTTGCAACCACGCAGTTTCATATCAGGCTTCCTACAAGACTTGGGTTCTCAGCGTGGGGCACCATTCTGATGCCGTTAATAACTTACGTGAAAAACTCCTGAAGCTCGTTAGACTCGATAATGACCACCGGAATGAAATGTCAAGCTTCACTCCAAGTGCCATTGCGCTCGAAAACCGGATCCTGAAGTAAAGGTGACAACAGACACCAGGAAAACGAAAGAGCCCCACTCAGTTTCAAAGTAGCTTCATTTAACTTTGCCATGGTCCCCGTCCACCGAGACACGAGTGCGACCGGTGCCAGCTTTCTGCAGCTGCCGGCGCGGCGTCGTTACAGGCGAGCGGCCGCTTCGGAGTCCCCTGTGGCGTCGCTCGTCTCACCCAGGTTCAGGTAGCTGCGGTGCGTGGCGTTGTAGGGCGGCCAGGTGACGGCTCTGTATCGGCTCCGCTCCCGGCCGCTAGGAGCGGCGCGCGCCTCCGGCCGTGGCCCGTTCGGGTCCCTGGGGGTCATGAGAAAGGTCAGCGCATGTCTAGGGGGAGGGACAGGGGGTAGAACATGCAGTGCCTACTGGCCACGTATGTGATACTGCCAGCAGCTCGGGTCATATTTTCCACAACTTGGCAGCAAGCATCCAGGCGCGTTGCAAACGCCTACTTTAATGGCTACCAAATCCTTCTAAGTCTGTCGCCACAGACCACAATGAGTTCTGACACGCGGAGCGTGACGCAGGACTCGCTCAGCCCGCCTCCTCGCACAAAGCGCCGACTCCAGCCCCATCGGTGGTGAACTCGCACCCGGTCTTGGCGAAGTTGGTCCAGAGAGCGACGACCGCGCGGCTGAGGTCGGCCTGGCCGGACGTGTAGCGGATGCCCGTCTCCGCCGCCGGCAGCAGCGGGTCACCGAACACGTACGGCAGCTCCGAGCCGTGTACACTACCCAGACGCTGCAACAGCCACCAACAGCAGCTCAGGGCAGCCCGGCCGCTCCAACAGCCACCAACAGCAGCTCGGAACAGCTCCACTGCCCAGCCGCTGCAACAGTTACCAACGGCAGCTCACGACGGTTCCACTGCCCAGCCGCTGCAACAGTTACCAATGGCAGCTCAGGGCGGCTCCACTGCCCAGACGCTGTAACAGTTGCCAACGGCAGCTCAGGGTTGCCCCACTGCCCAGCCGCTGCAACAGTTACCAACGGCAGCTCAGGACAGTTCCGGGCCGTGTGCACACTGCCCAGCCGCTGTTACAGTCACCAGTGGCAGCTCAGGGCGCGGCAGTTCCGGCCAGCGCACACGGCAAGGCAGTCTCTGGTTCTGACTACAGCGCAACTCCCACCGCACACACTGCCCAGGCGCTGCAACAGCCACCAACGGCCATAGGCGGATCCTGGAGGGGGGGGGGGGGGGCACGGGGCCATGGTCCCCCCAAAAACTCTGAGAGTATGTTTTGCCCCCCCCCCAAAACATTCCCAGAACTTCATAAAAATTTCGTCTACACACCGTCTGTTTTAAATTTAATTGTTTTAACTGTTTTGTTTTACTTCTGTTTGAGATTCAAAAACATTTCGGTGCTTGAATTGTGTCCCTACTAGGTACTCGCGAGAGGCACCATGCACTGGACTCGGATCCCACACCAGCCAGCTGGCGACGAACGGCTGCCCCCCCCCAAAAAAAAACAAAAAAAAACAAACAACTCCAGGCTGGATCCGCCCCTGCCAACGGCAATTCAGGGCAGCTCCGGGTCCGGCAGCTCCGCGCAGTGCACACGGCAAGGTCGTCGCTGGTTCTGACCACAGCGCAGAACCCACTGTGCACGCGGCAAGGTCGTCGCTGGTTCTGACTACAGCGCAGCTCCCACCGGACACACTGCCCAGGCGCTGCAACAGTCACCAACAGTAGCTCAGGTCAGCTCCGGGTCCGGCAGCTCCGCGTAGCGCACACAGCAAGGTCGTCGCTGGTTCTGACTACAGCGCAGCTCCGCGTAGTGCACACGGCAAGGTCGTCGCTGGTTCTGACTAAAGCGCAGCTCCCACTGGGCACGCGGCTGGGATTGCGATCTTAACGTGCGGAGCCATCGGCCCCGCATCCCAGGAGGCGGAACACCTTTTTGCGTCAAGGAATACTCAACAGCTGTCTGCTATGGGGACGAAAACAAAATCGCTAGGTTCAAGTCGCCGCAACGCAATTTGATTTGGGGGCGGTCAGGATTTCAAGGACGTCTCCTGGATAAAATGGGGTAACCAGCTCGTAGAATGCTGAGTAAACCTTTAGAATTATGCGGCCCAAACTTAACGTGGCGCAATAATTGACACGCTTCGTCATGCCCTCTAGTACCACCTGAGCGTAAGCGCGGCTGCTGCCATACGCCGCGGGACATCCCAGTCAGAGCTTAACGGCAAGTGCATAAGCGACTCGGGCCCACCCCGCCACGAGTCGGTGGATCGAAGGGCGAACGCTGGAACCAGCTGAGTTGTCCGGATGATCGGAACCCTCCCCGAAACTCTTCCATAATTTAGAGCTTAAGTACTGCGAAAAAGCAAACGGATCGGTGACGTTTAGATTGAACCGATAAGGGATGGGTAGCGGTTGGATGTGGGCTAGGCCACTTCACGGGTTGGGTAAGCCCATAGATACCGATGTGATATGAGCAACACGGTGGTATGCTACAGGTTTGTGGACAATGTTGGGTGCTGGTATGGGTCGTTTACGAAGTGTTGGGTAGATTCCCACGAAATAGTGCACATTGTTACTGCTTGGGCTCCATTCATAACTCTTTGTTCACACTTTTTTTGCAATTTCCAACGCAAGAGTAAGTTTGGATGTAAAAATTCCCGCATCTATTCCGTAATTAACAATTAAATGCTTGGAAAAATGAAAATTGGTGTGTAACAATGGGTGTGACTGGCGAAGGGTGGTAAGCGGCCAGGTATGGCACAACCCGTCTGGTTGACGAAGGGATTGTGTACAGGAAATCGTTCTGATGAAGGCCTCTAGTGCGGGGACAGCCCCAAGGACAGCGTTTGGATTTGGTAAGGGAAATCTTGCCCGTCAAGCCTGCTCGATAATTATTTGGGAGGCCAGTACCTCTTTCCTGTTTACTTGAAGTGTTCCTGAGATTTCGGCCACTCATTCAGTATAATTTTGAAAGTAAAATGAACTCCGTAGTCTTTGAAAGTTCAAATTTCAAGCTAGTGTGCAGCATAATGCACTCGATGTATATGTAAGAACAGCGAGCTTCGTTTAGCCTGGTTAAGCGTGCGGAGCAATTTTCTTGTATGATGAACGTCAAAGCACGACGAATATGGCAGCCGTGTATTAAATTCAAAAGGTCCCAGAGATAACCATGCAAACGATACGCAGTCCAATTCGGAATAGGACGCAAAACTGCGGGGTCGGCAGAAAACCGCTGCGATCAATGCTTACCAATGGCAAATCCAAAAGTAAATGACTTAAGGCAACACCCCGTGAGCTGCCGTGACATGATCGAATCTGACCTTGCAAAGATGTAGCTCGAGCTAAGTATGGACACCACCAGTCGCAAAGCTGCCAAAAGGGGTGGTAATAGGGAAGCCCAGTGAGCCCATTAGCGCTTTTCATCTATGCATGAGGGCATTATGGCGGAAGATGTGTGAAATTCAAAATTTGACTGACCCGGATCAGCTAGTCCAGACATATCAAATAAAGGCTCGATAGCTCAATAATGGTGAAGGCACCTACATATACATGCAATAAATGTTTGCACATTTCGAAACAAACTTGTTTGATTGAAGTCTCTTAAAAAGTGAAAATTTTGGCTTGATGCGTACCGCGAAAACCCTTGTCATTTCGCTGATTTCGATACCAAGGTTTACTGTTTCGTTTGCATTTCCTAGTTTCGGAAGGAATAAGGTAACGGAAAACCTCCCCACCCATAAATCTCACCCTATGTGCGAAGTGCGCCCATGCCTTTTGTCCATGAATCAGCTACTATCCAACGGGCATTCCAACAATATCATCCGTACCAAGTCTGTTCTACAGCCGACTACTTTACTACATTTTCATCCTGTCGTCATTCGGCTTGTTAACCGTTTTGGCTTGTGGTTTCCATGCTACGTCCGCATCTGGCACGCGCCATGCGGCAGTCGTAAGGCAAGGTGTTTGCGGTGTTTTTTTCTAGTGTCTTTTTATTCCGACTCGGTATCTCCACTCTATCTCGCCGGCGGCCCACCATGCTCAATGCGCTAAAAATTTGTTCGGAGCAGGGCTGGTTACACTAGCAGTAACGTGATTCCAGCCTGAAAAAAGAATCGTGCCAACACAAAGTGTTCACCCTTTTCTTGGATCAACGGTATGGTATGGCACCCACCCACCCACCCCTTACGAGTATGGTCTGACTACAGTCCTGCTGAGTTATGGCAGGGGCCTCCTGTTTCAGAAGGAGGCCTTTTACTACACAAGGGATACCTTCTAGTCCAGAAAAGGAACCCCTAGTTCATACCGGGACCCCGTAGTTGATATTAGGCCCCCCAGTTCATAACAGGGTCCTCCTAGTCCATAACGATGGCCTTCCTAGTCCACAACGATGCCTCCTCGTCCATAAAGATGCCTTGTAGTCCATAAAGTGGGCCGGCCAACTCACTTCTGGGGCATCCTAGTTCATAACTGGGCCTACTAGTTAATAACGGGGCCTCCTAGCTCCTATGGGAAACCTCTTAGTTTACAACGGGCCTCCCGGTTTATAATGAGGCCTGCTAGCCCATAGCGGTGGCCTTCCGAGCCAGCAAAGGGCGTCCTTAACACAAAATTGGGCCTCCTAATATGAAGCATGAGCTAGATTATTTAGCAAGGCCGTCTCATGATCGCGAAAATGAGGCTTGTAATGTAAAAGTCTCCTGAGACCCGTTCAGTACCCTCTTGTTCAGTTATCGCGTCTCCTTGATCTGAATTTTGGTAATCCACATGGGCTTTAGAACCTCTGCTGGGTAAAACGGGCCTCCTAAGATTTTGTAGGAGCAAAAACACACTCCTACCTTCCTGCCAGCCGGCAGGGAGGATAAGCCCACTCAGCTCCCTCTGCCCCCCCCCCCCCCCCTCCCCCCAGTTTGTTCGGAGCACGAGGTGATCGGAAGCATGCAAGTTAAGTTTCGAATACCTGTTTCGGGGCATGATCATCGCAAACTATTTGGCCAGCGCGCGGACGGTGGAACGCAGTCTGGAATGTGTTGATCAGGAAAGCCAGGTTTCTTCTTTAGTGTTCTGTTTTAGAGGCCTGCAAAGCTGAAAGTGCCCATATCGCCCACTTCTCCTCCAAGTTACGACATGTTTAGCTTCTCCCCTCGTATATGGGCTGCTCGGTCGATGCTGTCTGATCGCAAGTGGGTTAAGCTCGTCAACGAGATGAGCCGAGATGGGCTGGTCGTTTTTGCCCTGGAATCCTCCGGGGGATCTCTGTCGATGCAATAATGTCTACGCATATGCGTTGCTACTGTCCAGGTGACCGGAACAGCGACTGACGATTCTGCAAAATCACTGACGCACTTGACTTGCAGGCAAAATATGCATTCTATGGTAAATGGTGATGTCTGTTTAGTTTTTTTTTTACTTAGCCACAATGGGGCCTTGTAAGTTTTCACTTGGATTCTTCCTGCAGCATCCTTTTCCAGATTCATCAAAGTCCGTCGCCAACTCGGCAACCGAACAAGCAGAACACATTTTGTTTCTTGCTAATGAGAGTTGGGCGCAAGCAGCAGCTGGGGGTAGAGGTGGGCACCGCCTTGTCTCTATCCCCTCCCCCAACATCTCCCCTTCTCCTTCTTGTTAGAGCAGCGAAGCTCACCTTCGCCGCTTCACCGACATCCCCGACGTAGCTGAAGACGTAGAAGAAGGTGTTGTGTCTGTGGCCACCGCCAGAACCAGCCGCGACGTGTCGGTCGGCCTCCGCCGTCGCCGGCGCCACGAACGCCGCGTCGCTCAGCGCCGCCAGCGTCTCGTCCCGCACGGTGATCGGGTGACGGCGCGGGTTGCTCCAGTTAGTGTACGCGTTGATGATGGAGTAGAAGATCTCGACGTTGCTGTAGCAGTAGCCGTTGCGGACGAAGGTGCGCAGCAGGCGGTCACGGCGCTCGCTCTCGAAACCGCGGCTGATGTCCCGCTCACGGAACAGGGCGGTCGCATCCCGGCCGGCCACGCCCACCAGCAGGTCATACCGCCGCGGCGGCGCCCGCGCGCGCGCCGCCGCCCCGCCGGCGCTCGGCCCGTACGTCGGCAGGAACTGGAACCGGCCCACGTCGGCGGCCAGCAGTCGCTGGACGCTGTGCTGGCGCAGGCAGGCCAGCAGGCGGCTAGGCTCGGAGCTGACGCCGGGCAGCGCTGGGCAGCCGAGCTGGCGGCCCAGCGAGGCGGCGCGCTGGCCCGGCGACTCGACCAGCGCCAGCGGGCTCAGCGACGAGCCTGACATCAGGATCACGCGATGGAAGAGGCCTGGGAAGATGGAGACGCGTCACCGGAGGGCGAAACCGGCGCTGCGCAGCTGATACGGCCTCTGATGTCGCTGCAAGTACGGCATGAATGCTTGCATGTAGGGAACGGTCAGAATTAATTCAGCTAAAATTACGAATAATCCCTCGCAAGCTCCAAGCCACTAAGGTCCTGACTACCTCTTCAAGAAAAAGTACGATGCTTACTGGATGCTTGAGTCCAATATAGCCCACATGTCAATGTGGAATGGCAACGTTGCAGGCTATCACTACAATGTTCCGCAGTGAATGCACAGAGCTAGTTCTAAATGCGCATGACAACAATAAAATGCGCCTTAGTCACGCACACGATACAAGAAGCGATTCACATGCCCGGGTTCCGAGCGCAAAGGCTTGGCCAAACTTGTAAACACAAACTTCAGTTAATTGTATTCAGTGTCTATCATGAGTTAAGTGAGATGAGCATATTTGGGATATATATATATGTATATCAGTTTTAATGTCCCAACGAATCTGCAACATGCACGGGAGCGATGCATTGACGCTGCTGACGCCCGATGGATCTACAGAATGCACGGAAGCCTGCAGGGCGCTGGGTTTCCGCTGGATGCGAATCTTGGTAATAAACTAAACTTATCAAATAACACATTATGGGCACTTACACGATTTGTGACAAAACGATGTAGACCCAAGCCTGTTGACAAAATACCATGCTGCGTGTGGGTAAAGCCAGAGTAGCTTTTGTTGAAAATAATGAAAACAATAGCCTTACCGATAGCGGTAAACAAACAGTCCGATGGGAGAAATAAGCGAAAATGCCTGACAAATCGCAAAATTGCCGTGGACAGCCTGTTTTTTTTTTTCTGTGGAAGAGGTGTGGCAAACTGGCTTTATAGTTCGAAATGGACACGACACATCTGGTTACAAGCCTCACGTTTAAATTTCGACTGGAAATTTTGGATTTTCCCTGCAATGGGAGAAGTAGCACATGAGGAAAAAAACATGTCGGATATTGTATGCATATATATGCACATATACATAGATACATATCAACGGATAAACATATTGGTGCAACTATATATTCATAAATTTTCCCGACGGCATAAACCATCGTCTCTCATTCTTGCAGCCTGTCGACGGTTAATTGTGGGCTCACCCTCGTCCAGAGCCGGCGAGTTGACCAACAGGCTGATGCAGGCGGCACCCTCGCCGTGACCGAACAGGGTGACCCGGTCCGGGTCACCGTCGAAGCCGGCGATGTTGCGCCGAACCCAGCGCAGCGCCGCCGCCTGGTCCAGCAGGCCGCTGTCGGCCGCCCCGCCGCCTTTGACGCCCAGGAAGCCTGCCGACACAGCAGACGGGACGCTGGACACGACTCTGGCGCGGCCGGCGCGATTATGACGCAGACGGCGCCGCCGAATTACGTGTCAGAACGGATAATTTGTCAGGCTTCCGTCTGGCGGCGGCGCTATTTTCGGGCGCTGGCAGGCTTTGGTGTCGTGACTAGGCTCGTTTCAAGGCAATACTTTGGATGCCATTAGTTTTACTAGGCTGAGGGTGTATGGCTGCCATGATGAAAAAGGAGGCTCGCATTTGTGGATGGATGGCCCTTAAGTGAGCGGTAGGTGCCTGGGTAAGGAGAAGGTAACACGAATGAGGGATGACATAACAAATCGTTTCATATATACGTAAAACAGGTGTACTTCAACAATTTATGTGCGAGGCGGTTTGCGGGGAAATGGCTTGAGAGCACTTCATATTTACATGTGCCGCTTTACCAGGGCATCTTAACTATTGTTCTCAGCACTCCAGCATAGCGATCATACTCTGCGCGCAGAACGTTTGGACACACCAAAAAACTTACATTTTCAGGCCTTATGCCGAAATAACCGATCTTCATGGCACTAGAAGGTACTGGAAACCGACACTATCAAGCAAACATCAACATGCATGATAAGGATCCATTTCGACACATGAAAATGTGAGGCGATTTATTGTGATATGCAGCATCCTAAGCGTTGTGTCCAATCTGCCATCAGCCTGTAGGAGAAGTTAAAGAGATAGGAAGAAGGCATGGAGAAAAGAACATTGGCATAAAAAAAAGATTAGCATTTGAAGCCAACTGTTTTCATTGCAAGAAGTTGTAATGCCAAGCACCGGGAGCTTTCATTCTCTGGCTACTATCTGGGAGGGCAATTAATTTGCATACGTGCTACGTAAAAAGTCACCGCATCTGTTCCTGGTTTTTACAGCATTGTCTGGTGACAGCCTTTCGTTCTTTGGGATAGAATAGATCCACAACAGTTCAAGCTTCAACAGGAAACTGGTAGGGAACAAATCAGGGACTTTGGTGCATTTCTAAGTATGAGCAATGCTTCGTGGTTAAGGGCAGCAACGCATCTCTTCAAGCGCGCGGGTTGAAATCCGCTCTGTGCAGGAGACAGAAGATGAGCAGTGAAGAGATTACGCGGCTTCGCGAGATTACCACCCTCCCTAAAATTGTGGCAGCGACCGAGACAATGATGTTTGGCCGGAAGCTGGATGGGTTGCAAGAGCAATCAGATTTGTTTGACGGGCAATGCAGTGCTTCCAAGGACCGGGAGAGTGGGAGCCGCCTGGAGGGATGCTGAAGGTTGTAGTCATTTGGAGGGCACCACGGATCGCATCAAGGCTGCAGCCTGGATGACGCTGATGAAAATGTCATTTGAAATTGAGCCGAAACGACAAGCAAATTGCCGGTTCTCGTCGGCGAGGTTCGCTTCAGATGTCTGTATTACACACGATTACATTCCTGGGAAGACGGGGACAGCCAGTCAGGCTCGTATGATAGGATTGCACACAGACATGCCAGGACGAAGGACTCTGACAACTTTGGGGGCCAGGATACCCGATACAGAAGACGTTAAGGCTTTATAATGAAACGTATATTTTGCGTCTGAAACCCTCAAGGTTGGAGAAATAGGATGTCAGCAGTAGGGCGTCGGTAACAACGGTAATACGATTTGGAAATGTCGATTCTGACGATGAACGACCTTCCAGATATTAGGAGGCACTGGTTAATGGGAATATGCCACCTTTTTGAACTTTTCCTTTATTGTTAGATCTGCCGCGTCCAGTTTGATCGGATAGACGTGTTAGGTAAGACAGTAGTGATAGCCTGATTCCTCACAGAAAAACCAGGTTAGAGATAGGGATGCATTAATATTTCGGCAACATACCTTTATCGAAACGAATAAAAGTAAATTCGAAATTGCACATCGATCATCCAACTCGATTTTCGCAGCTTTTTTGGCTGTCGTATCTATGTGCATAATGTTCCTTGCAAGTGCACTTAACAACGTACGGCAAGACGTCTTCTTGAAATCCTTCTGAATAGCTCATAATTTCAACTTGAAGTAGCCGCTTTGCTGAAAAATTTCCTGGTACACCCTGCTCACCACTATCTAAGTAATACATTTCGTTTGCCACGCTTTTCTAACGTGTGTTCTGTAATGTTTGCGACACGCTTATGTGTCAAAGTGTTTGTGTGATAAGTGTTGCGAAAGCTTGAAACATTCTGCTTATACAAGAAGGAAGGCGAATGTGAACCTCTTACCCTGCTTATTCAACGAAACGTTATGCTATGGCCTTGATTTCTTCCCCATGACATTAACACAGCGGCTCTTTTCGAGGCGCACCGTCGCTTCGAGAATGGGGTATCACACGATTCCTGTGACGCACTGGTTCAAACTTCAACCAATACACTTCTCCGTAACAGGTCATTGCCCGCTGGGCCAATGACAAACGTTCTTTAATCGCACAAGTAGAGGTGCGCATGGTGGTTGTGACTAGAAAATAATTGAGATTGAAATCCTTACTATATCTTGACAGTGCTGTAGTCGCACTACCCAGCGATTTTATTAGACGTAACTGGCCCTGAGGTTTCACCAGAGTATGTCATTGGAGTATGCCCCAAAGGTCGGACACTCCCTTTGTACGACACCTCGTTACCATGAATACAGCTTGAAACGACGAGTTTTGTTGATATTACCACTGGTTGCTGTCCTCTGATGACAGACGCAATTGTGCGTTCGTCGTTCGCCGTCAGTCTGCTTGCAGCTTCGGCAAATGTGTTTGAAAGCAAAGTGACAAACCTGCAAAACCACATTCTAGAGTGCTAGGTCTTAAGTGCCCAGAGGTACTTAGCCCATGCCACTTTTAGGTTAACTTTTGTACGAGCTTGTTTTGGTCCCGTTTTGAACAGCAGCATTAACGTAAAATTTGTGAGAACGTCTATCTTTGGACTGGTTGCTTGTGGAGCTAAGTATTATTCATGATTCGTCATTAAAAACAAAGCCAATTGCGCGTCATCTGAACTACAGTCTAGCATGTGGCATATATTCGTATGTCATCGGTGCAAAATGTCGTCTGTTAACATACCTGTTTATATCAGTGACTGTGTCTTTCACATGCGCTAACACATCTCAATGCACGCAGGATATGACTGAGCGATGTCCTGGCCCTGATCTGCGGGCTAAGACAGCTTCCGAAGAGGATTTTGGTTGCAGCTTAGTTCTGTAATT